AAATGACTCCTAAGACACCCACTATGGCAACTGGTAATATAAGAAACAGGATTTGTGGTGGGTCAAAGAAGAATTGAGTTTTGAGCATGTCATTTGAATACCTGAAGAACGTCCATGTGGATGTTTTGTAGCTTATTAAAGTTCTGGGTCAGAAGTTTGGGGGAAAGAGCTGGACCAGAGTTTAATTTATCAGGTTGAACTCTAAAGAAGGGAGCAGATCACATGCCCCAGAGATTGACAGTAAAGCACAATTAGAAATGTCACCCCTAGTCAGTGCTGTTTGCCGAATTATTTTGCATTCTTTGTTCAAGCCTAGTGTAGCAAGAGTTAAGTGGGTTAGATGTAAAGATTGATTGAGGCTCAAACGAATCACTGTTTACTCTCAGTTGTGAGATCACCATGTAACATACATGTTACCAAACCCAGCTCATTTTTATGTGTGCTTTGGTGTTATTTCTTATTACCTATTTTCAGTTTTCTTCTACAGTGTGAAAAATGTTCAGATTACTAATACATAGGCAGTAGAGGAGGAGATAGGGCTGAGAAGTGTCACCTTGTATATTGGACTTCTTTCTTTCTCTCATAAGTAATATTGGGGTGCTGCTGTTTGGGTGTGACTGCGTGTGTGTGTGTGTGTGTGTGTGTGTGTGTATGTTGGAGATAGGATCTCACTATGTAGTTCAGGCTGGCCTTGAACTCACTATGTAGCCCAGGCTGGCCTTGAACTTGCAGGGATCCTCCTACTTCAACCTCCCAACTGCTGGGATTACAGGCATGTGCCTGTATGTGCCTTTGGGTATGGCATTCATTTCTATCTGCAATATAAATGCCAAATTGAGTTAGAAAGGGCAGAGCGAAATAAAGCTAATGGAATACCTCAGTGACACAGGGCAATTCAATGCAACATTCCTATATTATGGCTTTTGCCCTAAACATCAACCATAACCTTTTCATGGAGCAGAAAACACATACAAATTTTATAAATAAATGTACTTTTAAAAAATCCTACTTTGCATGTCATATTTTTTATATTAAGAAAACCAAGAAATACCCTGAAAAAGGAGCACCTTTGTAGTATCCTGGAAAAAAGGTAGAGAAGATGAAATAGAACTCAAGTCAAAAACCCTCTGATTTCTTGAATCCACTTTTGCCTTATTTGTCCTTGGGTCAGTGATGTCTTTGAAAATCACTCGCTCTAATTGAGCAGATTCTCAGAGCCATACCTTACACTTGCTTCCCTTGTGACCATCAGGAATATACTAGTTGTCAAAGTAAAATGGCCTTCAGAGATATGTGATGATTTTATGTATCTATTTAACATTTAGAGTATTACAAATGAGTCTAGCATGTTGGCACGTGTCCATAGACCCAGCAACTTTGGAGGCTGGGGCAGGAGGAATGCAGGTTCAAGGCCAGCCTGGGCAACTTATCGAGACCTTGTCTCAAAATAAAAAGATTGAGTCATTCAGTGGTAGAGTACTTGTCTACCAAAGCCCTGGGTTCAAGCCACAATAATGGGGAAAATTATTTAAATTGTAGTTAAGAAGACTTACTTTACACAAGAGCAAAATAATATAAACATAGTAACTGTAGTAAGGATTCCAGACTGGAATAAGGGTGTAGGAGTAAGAGCATGAATTCTATGGAGTCAAAAGATTCTGATTCTGGCACCACCAGTCACTGTTTTGTGTGAAACTGGCTGGGCCCCAACTGCTCAGTGATAACATGAAAATCTGTTTTAATCATGCTTCCCTACAAGATTTTTGGGAGCGTTAAATGAGTCTTTAATATAGCTAGCACATAAGGAACCCTCAGTAAGTTACCATTATTAGTGCCTAAGTATAATGGTATTCATTTATCCGGGCAGTCTTACACTTCTATTGTAATTTGAAAAATGGAAGACATTTATTAATACAGCAGTGATAGACATTGATATGAAAGAATTTCAGAAGGACTGAAATGTTAAAATTGTACACAAGAAATAGAGAAGACAATGGTCTAGGCACGGCAGAGCACAATTCAGGCGAAGAACACTATTTATAAAAGCACCTGTGTCTTATTCTAGTGGCACCTTCCACATTCCCTGGATTTCCCCAAATTACTGATAGGAATTCTGTGTTGTTTATCAATTCCTTTGGTGTTTTGGAGTGCAGTTCATTGAATAGTGCCTGAAAGCAGCTGGGTACCACATTATACACTTCTCACATAACAGGGCCATTAGTGCTTCTTACCATTTCTTCTCTGCCCTTTTCAGTTTGAAGATCATTCTCCTAGCTGGAGAAGACTAAAGCAAGATAGGCCTAGAGTTTCTGTTTTTATCTATTGAGATTACTTTCTCTTCTTCCTTCACAAAGAGTGGGTTTGTTCTTGCCTTGTTTTTCTTCCTGTAAGCACAGGTTTTCAAAGAGTCTCCTTGTTCTTTTTTGGTAAGCCTAAGATCATTCTGGACCCCAGTCAGCAGGCCAGTATTCCTACAGGCTTGAGTAACTTTCTTCTTGACCTCAATTCCCTGCTTGTTCCTTTTAGTACTTCTCATTTTAAAAGTTCTTGTCCATGCCACATCGACAAATCATTAGTTTTTAAAACCAAACGAAGATGGTCAAAGGAGATGACTCTTTTTTTTTTTTTTTTTTTTTGGTACCGGGGATCAAACTCGGGTCTTTGCGCTTGCGCAGCAGGCAGCGAAACCACTGAGCTAAATCCCTGGCCCAAAGGAGATGACTCTTAAAATATAGCCCTGAGGTTTTATGCCTAAAGACTCAGAAAATCGTACCATTGGTAATGGTGTTGGAGGTAGAAACATGGCATTGGTTTGGAGGAGGGATGAGCAGCTCAGATTAAAGAACTGGGAGGACAGTTGGAGATGACCTGTCAGGCAGTTGAAATGTAAAATTAAAGAAAATGTGAGGCTGGGCCTGGTGGGACACTTCTGTAATCCCAGTAGTCTTCAAGGCCGAGGCAGGAGGATGACAAGTTCAACCCCAGCCTGGGCAATGTAGTGACTTAGTGAAACCTTGTCTCAAGATAAAAAAGGGTGGTAGCTCAGTCCAAAGACCCTGGGTTCAACAACCAAGAAGGAAGGGGAGGGGGAGAAACCATAGCTAGATAGATATAGCAGTCATTCAACTTAATTATTTAACCACAAACATAGATAAGATACTATACAAATATACAGTCCCTTCAGAAGGTAAACAGTGAAAAAATATCAGAAGGAAGCTAAAGAAATAAGGAAAATGAATCTTTCTGAAAAAGAGGAGAGTGAAGTATAGCTTCCTGAGTCAACACCAGTAAACCAAAGTAATTCTAAAAGCATTTTGTTATTATTAAACATGGCATCACCCTGTGCCAGCTACCTGTGCCATTCGGTTAGATGTAGTGTCCTTGGGTACCCCCGTATATACAGGGTAAGAGCCATACATGGAAGGGTAGCAATAAACACTTTTCTTCTTTTCTATAATTGAGTTACTTTGCGACTGTCATACAGAGTGCTCTGAGATCTCAAACTAAACTGAATCATTCAAAACTGAACTCCAGGTGCTTGCCTAAGATTTCCTGTATCTCAAAAGGGATAGAGGTAAAGACATTGAGATCTGTGGTTCAGGAACACCACCCCAGCATGTGGGAGCCCAGAGGAAACCCTAATCCTGCCTGGGATTATGTTAGGACCCGAGCAAATCACAGTATTTCATCCATAAAATGAAGCAGCTGGATTTCATCTAAGGGCCTTTTGGTGCTAAAATAAATTAATTTTTCCCTTTAATGAAACTTACCCTTTGCTTTTTTTTTTTTTTTTTTTTTTTTGAAAGGTAGTGCACTATTTGGGGGAGTTGAGTTTAAAAGCTAACAAAGGGAGCTTTGTTTTAATGAAAAGTGTCCAATCATTGTGGGCCCTGGTAGCATTGGGGTTTGGGAAATAGATTTTGCCCTGAATTTCAGTACTCACATTTTAAACCAAGCCTGCCTCATTTCTGAGTAAATTTGGTGTATAATTGTCTAACTTAAAAAATTGGTTAATTAGAAGATTTTCATTTGTTTTTATAAACTAGAAAATTACATTTTAAGAGACTTCTTAGATTTCGGTAAGTAAGATCCTAGGGATCGGCCTTTAGCCAGAAAAATTTTAATTTTGCCACCAACTCCACTTTATGAATTCCAAGAAAAGAGAAAATTTGGATCCTTTGAGAATAGGGAAGCTTGAATAACTAATTCTAGTAGTATTGTTGCCCTCGCATCTCCCTGTCTAATGGGAAAAGGTTTGAGAACAATAGCTGGGTACCAACCCAGTCTTTCATATGGGTTTTCAGCAGTACTTGTAAGTAAGTGGCAGAGATTAAGTGATAGAAAAATTATGGTAGCTGAGTTTATGTTCTTAAGTACTTAAACTGAAGGTTAGACAATCAGTAGTAGCAGAATATAAATATCTAATTTTTGCAGATGAAACCACTAAATATCCAGGAGAAACAGATCAATGTTGTTCTTGGTTTTGGTCTTATATTAGCAGATATAAGAGCTTGATCAGGAGGTACAGGAATAGTCAGATTTCTGTTTTGAAAACATCTATACCAAATTAGAAAAGAAATATAGGGAAGCAGGCCTTCATGCTTTCTCATGAGAAATCAGACTTCAAAGAAAGATGTAATTGATCTTGGACAGAGCAGTTTTATAATTTTGCTAAACACGTTAGAAGAAAAACTAACATGGCACATGTTTTTCCTCCCTTCCTCATGTAAGGATAACTAACCAGGCTCCTTATCCCACTAAACCCTATAATCCTTTATATCTTACGCTTGTTACATTGTTGCATGCAACTTCCTCCTTTCCATTGTGCTGAGCATGAATGGTGTGCGGAAGACTGAAATGTTTTCTACAATTTTTTGTTTCATGCTTTTGAGGTGTGACATTTCTACACAGGGCTCTGTTGATTTTTAATTTTTTTACTGAATCCATTTTCCAATTAAAAAATAACATCATATTAAGAAAGTCTTCTTTTTACCAATTAGGTCAAAGTCCCAAAATTTTAAGACCCAAACCCCATGGTTTAGAGCGAACCGATTCACAAACCGTAGGTGACTTTCCCACCAGGAGAAAGGGTATGTACTTTAGCACTGCATGCTCTGTGGGGCATTGGGAATTTACTTACTGTGGAATGTTTTTTCTTAAAATAAAAAAAGTCTTAAATACTACTACTGTTGTAAATAAAGCTTCCCAGCATGTTATTTCTAAAGTCAACACTTCCCGTAATATGTGATGAGTCTAGTTGTTATGCCATTAACAGCAGCATGTTAAATATTTGATAATGTGATATTGAGTCTTGTCCTTTTGCATTATTCCTTTAACTTTTTAGACAATGGTACATTGTTTTATCTAAGCTTGTTAACTGCTTGTGAGTTCCAGTTGTCTCGTCTTTGTGTGTGTGTGTATGTGTGTGTATATATATATATGTATTCTGTCCTGAGACATCATAAAGAATTATTTCTGTGTATTAATCATGCCATTATTTAGAAACTGACAGCTAAACTGCTGTTAGCCTTTGCATGTCATAAAAGTGAAATATTAGCAAGGGATAGTGTTGCAAACCTGTAATGTCAGCTCCTTGAGAGGCTGAGGCAGGAGGATCACAAGTTTGAGGCCAGCCTGGGCAATTTACCAAGACTGTCTCAAAAGAAAAAATTTTTAAAGGGGCTGGGGATGTGACTCAGTGGTGCAGTGCTTGGCTGGCTTGCACAAGACCTAGGTTCAATTCTCAGTACCTTAAAAAACAAGTGAAACATTACAAATAAGTAGTACAACATTCTCTACATATCTATTGTTAAGTATATAGACAAGGAAAATTGTTTTAACTTGAACTTAATGAGTTTAGTTTTCACCATGTTTGAGTCAGTACCAATACTTGATTATGAACCTGTGGTATCCATATAGTCCTTTGAAACTATTGCCTATTTTTGTCATTTGATGGTAATTCTAACGTAGTTGATTAAAATTACACATATATGAACAAAGATTAAGGAAACCTGGAAAAATGACTCTTTTATAAAAAAGTGTGAGGATGAAACATAACTAAGATATTTACCACATATGTTTAAAATGTCTTCTGAAATATAATTAATACATACTATTGTAGGTTTCTTGCTCACTCCATACATTTCTGAAAAATATTTGTCTTGACATTGAGAAAAAGGCCAAGAACTCTGTAGTACAATATTAAAATAATTGTCCACTACAATAATGAGATAATAAGTAAAGATTCTTATTTTTAAAAAGCAAATAAATGTATTACTATTACTTTATTTAATTTGATAAAGGAGAAGTTACTTGAATTAAGCTAAAAATTTGAAGTGATTACAGTAAAACAAAAACGTAATTACAGCCTTTTCTTGGAGTATAACGATATAATTTATCCTTTTGTTTGTTTCCACATTGAATGTGAATTATTTTTAAAAATTTGATCATTACTTCTTGTGGTTTTAGCAAAATTTTATTTTTGGTTTTAGTGAAGTTTTAAAAATTCTGTGTATCATTTTGCATGTGTACTTGTGTAACTGATGCTTTGATATGGAAGAATAGGAATATTACTAGATGATTAATATCCATATTTAAGATGAAATTAGTAAAAGAATGAGTTAATGAAATACACATAAATCAGATATTAAGGAACTGGATCACATTAGTCTTTCTTGTTCTCCTTAGTTTATATTCATAAAATGTTTACCTAAATTAAGAAGCAACATATTATAATAGAGCTTTAGACTTGAAGTTAACTATCATGAAGCACTAATTTAGCTTTTGCCATGTAGTATTTGGTTGTGTAAACTTGGATACACCAAGTAATATCTTTGGACCTTATTTCATGTGTGAAACTTACATGCAATCTGTCAAATATAAATTGAGATGTGGAGGATCTTGTTTGTTTTCCAAAGTTCTGTACACTAAAATCTCCTTTTCTCTTTCTTTTCAGCCAAGCCAGCACCTTTAGAAATAAAACCTTTGGCAGAATGGGAAGAATTACAAGCTCCAGTTAGATCTCCCATCACTAGGAGTTTTGCTCGAGAGTGAGTACTTTGTTTAAAATACAAACACGTTTGAATAACATAACTATCTAGAATTGTTTGTTATCACACAAAATAACTAAAACAGTGATTCCCAAAGGCTGGTCTAGGAAGACCTTTTGAGGTTCCATGAATTCAAACCTATTTTCGTTAGGATACTAAGAAGTTAAGTTGACTTTTCCACTCTCTCTGCACAGTAGAGTTTTCCAGATCATGATATGTGATAATAATCATGTGATGGTTAATAGAATGTACATGTTTGTACTCTTGTATTTTAAAAATATTTCTATTTGTATTTATAATATAGTGTTAATGAAATAACTTATATGAAGTATCTTCAGATTCTCAATTTTTAAGTGTGATTTTTAGGGGTTCATGACACAAAGAATTTCTGACAACTACTGCTCTGGAAAATATAGTAGTTTCTTTTAAGTTGTTCTTCTTATGGATTTCTGCTTACCCACAAATTACTGACAATACTTATTTTTGTTTGCTTCTCAGAGTACAATTTGATGTCCAAAGAGTGCCTTTGTAATAAGCTGTGTATATTAGTTGTGTATTCACATGTGTTCAGTAAATTCTGTTAGAACAAATGTGTACAATAAACAAACATAAATGAATCTCCCAGAAAAATGCATACCATTACTCTCTTTTATTTTGAGAGTAAATTTAGAGATTTTATCTGGGTTCATGTTTATGATGATAATTTCTGTGTTCAGTTCCTCTAGGTTTCCCATTTCCCCCCGGCCGGATTCAGTGCATAGCACAACATCAAGCAGTGACTCACACGACAGCGAAGAGAACTATGTTCCCATGAACCCAAACCTGTCCAGTGAAGATCCAGTATGTAAAGTTTTCATCCTGATCTCTCCCTTCCTTGCAGTCCTTTGAAAACATCTTTCTTCCAGCCTGTATATTTTACCCTCATATTTTTCTCCCCATACTCAAGGAAAAACAGAGACAACTTTTTGAAATACTTTTTGCATTTTAAAAACGAGTATCACAAAGACTAAAACCAGTAAATGGCCAATGTGTAATACCATCTATAAGTAGAAATGAGTTGAAAATATAAGTTTTTGTGTTGATCACCTCTCCATTTTTAGACCAAATCCTGAAATAATTAATGTCAATAGGAAGAATTTATTTGGGCTCACGTAGAGGTTCCAGTCCATGAGTGGTTGGCCCTGTCATTTTGGGCCTGTGGTAGGAGCGCATGGCAAGCCACAACCACTGCTCACCTCATGGCTAGGAAGAGGAGAAAGTGGGGAAGGGACCAGTGGCCCACAGTCCTCCTCAAGGAGATGCCGCTGGTGACCCACACACCTCCTACTCGGTCCCTGTCTTAAAGGTGCTGCCACTTCCCAGCAGTGCCACCCCGAGGACCACGATTTTAATACCTGGGCTTTGGGGGACAGTTTAGATCCAAAGTCCCACAGTTTTCCAGCTCTTTTATTGAGGGTGTACTTGATTTTTGATACTCTTTAAAACAATATGCTGGAAGCATTTGATAATGCACTTTCTGGGCTATTTTCTTAAGTGGGAAGTCTTTGATAATCTCTCAATAATGTACCATGGGTTTAAAAGAAGAACTGTTATAAACATAGTTTGTTTCAGGATATATTACCACAAGGCATGAGACCTCTCTGATAGTAACAAGCATTTTATTTCCCAGGAATCAGGAGGTTGGCAGAAAATACTTCAGATATTCAGGAATACAAACCAATCTTAATTTTTAAAAATAATTTGCTTTTGCTTTTCTTTAAATCAGATTTAATACTTGGTCAGTGCTTGTTTAATGCTTGTTAAGAGTATCAGTTAAGATTAAGTTTGCATCTGAAAAACAAAATAAGGAACCTTGACTTACAAGAAGGGTTTACTTGTATTTCTTTCACATGCAAAAGTCTAGGAAGTCAGTCCAGGCTTTTAATCCCAGCACTCTGCAAGGCTGAGGCAGGAAGGAAATAAGAATGTGATCATTACAGCAATATTTACCAAATCTCTTTAATTTTGGAATTTAATGTATTGATGAAACACCTGTAATTTCACAGGATCTAATGTGTTGGTTGCATAGGTGAAATCAGTTAAAGAAAAGACATAGTCCTAGAGAAGTTGAGACAGGATCAAACCAAATGAAGACTAAATTCTCTAAATTAAAGTTTTGAGGCTCAGTACATTTCCTAGACCAGTGATCATGAGGTCAGCAGTATACTGTGAGACATTCTGTCTTACCATAGTTCCTTCCTCATTGCTGGGACAAAACACTTGATGCCCACAAGTTAGAGGAAGAGAGGTTTTTCTTGGCCCTCAGTTTTAGAGGATTCAGTCCATGGTCGGCTGGCTTCAAGACAGGGAGACATAGCTTAGGGGTTGGTGGTGAGAGGAAGACAGATCAAGGGAGGAAGGAGGAAGATACATCCTCCCAGGCCATGCCTCCTGTGACCTACACCCCGGCCTTGCCTCCGGGACATCACATTTAGCTATAAACTCATCAGTGGACTGATCCAGTGATGAGTATCACACCACCTTGATCCAGTCACCTCTAGGAAGCCCCACCCATGGCACATGAGATTTCCAGGGGGACATCTAGATACAAACCACAATACATCTGTATAAAGATCAAGTCACGAATTCGTCAAGTGAACCCTGTGTGACACCTGAAATTTGAGTGATGATGGTTCACCATTGTTGCAGACATAACTGTTGCGATATAGCAGCAGCAACACAAATATCCTAGAACAATTTTGTGCATTTTAAAAGAATTTTAGAAAAACCCTAGCACCACTGTTTTGTTATTTAATTCAAAGAATACTTATAGTAAGTTCTAGTATCTTCATTCTTTCTCTAAAAAACCTGGGAAAATCCTGGTGAAAGGTCAGAACAGGATGTTTCCAGCTGAGATGAGGCCGAGAGCAAAGAACGTCCTTGTGGACACATAAATTTAACAGCTAAAAAAGTACAGGTCTAGGAAGAATTAAACATAAACGTCAGCTAGCAGTCCTGAGAAATTTTCTGTAGGAACAGTTTATGGGGATTAAGTGTACAGGTCATATGAATGAGTGGATTCCTTTGATAGCAGTATAATATTGTGAACACTAGGCATTTCTGGGCAGGGAGAGGAAGGTTGCAGTTTCTTTCCTTGGTCACCTCGAAAGACAGAATATTACCCGTGCTCACAGTTGATTTTTTTTTTTATATTTGAGAGTGAAATATGGAGCCATTCAGGAAAAGAAGTTACTTTTATCTCGTTGCTAAAACAAAATAGCCAGCACCCAAAGTTAAAGGGGGAAAAGTTTATTTAGCTCACAGTTTGTAGAGGTTTCAGTCCATAATCGGCTGGCTCCAATGCACAGTGGCACATGGCAGAGGGGGAACAGTTCATGGTGGACAGAAGCCAGCAAAAGCAACAGGGAACTTTAACAGCTTCTTTCTGCTCCTTTTATCTTATTCAGGCTACTTGAGGGGGCGAGGTAGCACTCACACCCTTAATCCTAGTGCTCTGGAGCCTAGCATTGAACCATGAATCAATTCCAACTTCACACACTCTAGCTAGATCAAGCCACCTCTGAAAAAGCCCCACTTAACATCTGCACAAGGCTTTGGGGGGTGTCTAAACACAAGCCACAACACAACCTTAAAAAATCAACAGAATCAGATTTATGTAGTTGTCAGATTGATTTGTTCATTCCAGCAGGTAAAACTGTAAGTTTATGATGTCCTTATGATTTTCTTCAGAAGGCTGAGATGATATATGATCGTTAGTACCCACATGGTAGAGGCCGTAATGAGGATTCAGTATTGCTGCTGAGAAGTCTGTAGCATTTCTAGATGGGGAAAAGGCAGCAAGACATGGGAAGAGGACATGTGTTGGAGCACATTCAGAAATCCACCATAGGGGGCCGGGGATTTAGCTCAGTGGTTCCGCTGTCTGCCACGCAAGAACAAGGATCCCAGTTTGATCCCTGGTACCAAAAAAAAGAAAAAAAAGAAATACATCATAATTGGGGTACAGTGAATGTAGGGACATAAGTTTGAACCATCCTTTTTACTTAGCATTGTTCTTAAAGTTCTCGATACCTATTTTTATTTTCTGCCTCAAGATTTTTTGTTCCTGCTTATCGCTGTCCTCTATTTTCTTTATCTTCTGTTAGAGAGCACCTATTTTATAATTCCTTTTAGGAAGAAAACAGGATCAAGTTAGGAGAAGGTAGAGAAAATTAAATGTCCAAAATTCCAGATGATTGAAATAAATTAGATCTTATCAGTGAAATCATTTGTAACCTTTAGTTAACATATTTAAGTTTAATTTAAATCAAGGAGTATAAGGATCCTTTATTATACAGATGTAATTGAGTACAGATAAAATTTTAATAATCAAGTTGTGCTTTCGAAACTAACTGTGGCTTGATGTGTCCTACTTAGTTTACCAAATTTAACTTTGGAAACTACTTTTAGCTTGTTCTTAAGCTTAAATCAATTTGTAAATATTACTTTTAACCCCAGAAATTTACTTTTCTAAGCAGACTTTTCTTTAAGCTATGTTCTCTTGCAAATAAATTATTCATGCTTCAGTAGCGGACAAGATGAGTGGTATGTGTTGGCTGCAGTGGTCCATGCCTGTAGTCCCGCTTATTCAGGAAGCTGAGGCAGGAGGATTACTTGGCCTGGAAGCTCAAGAGCCACCTTGCTGCATAGCCAGAGTTCATAAATGAGTGAGTTTCATGTGTATTTGACCACTGGTTTTATTCTGTTGTGCTTTCAGAATCTTTTTGGCAGTAATAGCCTGGATGGAGGAAGCAGTCCTATGATCAAGCCCAAAGGAGACAAACAAGTGGAATACTTGGATCTAGATTTAGATTCTGGGAAATCCACACCACCACGTAAGGTAAGTGAAACTTTGTTTTCTAAAGACAGAACCTGAGCATGGTGGCACATGCCTGTGATACCAGCACTCTGGGAGGCTGAGGTAGGAGGATCATAAGTTCGAACCAGCCTGGGCAACTTAGTGACTTAGGGAGACCCCATCTCGAATTCAAAAGGCTAGGAATGTAGCTCAGTGTAAAGGCCCTGGTTTCAGTTCCCAGTACCATAATACATACATACATACGTACATACATACATACTTTAAATTTAAAGAATCATCTTCTTTGGGAAAATTTTATTACGTTTAATTTAAATTTAGTAAAGTCTAGGTTTAGGAGTAGCTTGGCCATAGAGCACTTTGCCTACCATGCAGAAGGCCCTGGCTGGGTGCAGTCCCTAGCCTTGAAAAGTAAAAAATAAACGAACAAACTTAGTAAAGTCTGTTATTTAATGCTGCTTAGTAATTCACAGATAATAAAATTGTAAGTTTACTCTTTTCTGATGTTATGGGAGTTACACTCTCAGTGTTTACCATTAAAATGATTATTGAACAAATTCTGAAGTTAATCAGTGTCTCCATTCTCTTCGATGTATTACCTCAAATTATGCACTGTTTTTTGTCAGAAATTTTATTTTTTGTTAAACCCACAAACTAGAGAGAACTATTACTCTTCTTATTGCAAAGAAAATATTTAAATTTCACTACCTATTTGCTGACTTATCATTCCTTCTTAAATCTCAGACTTTTCCTTCTGTTAATTAATAATTTTTCCTTCCTCCTTGAAATACAGTCATTAGAAGTGCCATTAGTCTGTTGGTAGCAAATTCCTTTCAGTTTTTGTTTAATTTAAATGTCTTCCTTTTGCCTTTGGAAAACAAAATTTTGTTGAGTGTACAGTTCTTGACTGACAGTAACTTTCTCAACACATGGAAGATACTGTCCCACGATTACCTCGCTTCTGTTCCTGTTGGAAAAATCAGTGCTATAATTCCTTTGTAGGGTGTCTGTCTTTTCCGTCTGGCTGATTTTAAGCTCTCTTCTGTCTTTAGGGTTTTACAGTTTTATTAATGTGTCTTATATATATATATCTTACTTCGTCCAAGTAGTGCTGCATTTTCCCCTGGATTTCTATTTCTCTAAGTTCTGGAAAATTCATTTAGTGCCTTTAGACATTGCTTAATTTTTTTTTCTTTCCTTTGAGGTGCCTTTTGGTCTTCATTTCTTTGAATTTGCTATATTTCCCATCTCTCTTATCACTCTTTCATAGTTGTCATCTTATCATTTCTCTTTAACTGGATAATTTCTGTACATGTCACTAAGTTTACTCATTTTCAATTCTTCCTATTCAGTTCTTCATTTAATTTTTATATTTCTAAATGATTTGATTCCTTTAGGGGTATACCTCACTGATGTCAGTAGCTTTGTATTCCTGACTTTAATTTATTCCTTTTTAATTTTAGTCTTGATTTCTTTTAAATATTTTATGCATATATATTTTCTACTGCTGACGTAGCGGTTTCAATAACTGACATCCTTGAAGGTTTAAGTTGTGTTTATTGTTTTTACTAACCACAGAAACAATGGCTTGTTTCCTTTATGTTCATTCATTTTTATGTCAAGTTCATTGCTGAATCCTGAGGACCTAAATTTCCTCCAGAGAGGATTTTTTGCTAGAAACTAGAAGGTACAAGCACCCTGGAACCTCATTGCTTCTCCGCAAGGGCTGGCCTCACAGGATAGCCTCAGTTTTCTTATCGTTCCTTCCTTGGGCGTCCTTGGGCTGAGATTGAAGTTCGTCCTAAGGACAGCACTGCCTTTGCCGTGCAGCAGCTCAGCCCTGCCCCTGTTTCTCTTAGACCTTACCTATTTTATTTTCTAGTAAGCCCAGCAGTGAATTGATAATTATATCTGTTTGAAGTTATCTAGTCTCTAGTTGGAATTTAGGAACAAGAGGGCATTTGACCTGTGTAGTTTGTTCCTGAATTATTGCTTTGCAAAACTTATTTCTTAACTCGGAGAGTAAACACTGATTTGTGTTCTCTGAGCTTTAAAACAAAGTTAAGCTTAAGCTAAAAAGTCAACCAAGCTGTATATGTCCCTGTTTCTTGTGAATTTCATCTGTGATCAGAGCATTAGTTTTGAGCTCCTTTTGTTTGTTGTTCAAATTCTTCTCTAGGACCATTTTAAACTTAAGAGAAAACAGTGTATCGTTAGGAGAAAGATAAAAATTGATAAATTGAAGTCATAGCTGTTATTTTTTGTAGCCCAGTAGAATGTCTGGAGAATTCAGAGTGCATATGTGTGTTTTGAGACTGAATTTCACTCAGAAACACTCCTTTATAAGTGGCACTTTCTGGTGTTTTCTTTGTTCTAGCAAAAGAGCAGTGGCTCTGGCAGCAGTGTGGCCGATGAGAGAGTGGACTATGTCGTGGTGGACCAGCAGAAGACCCTGGCTCTGAAGAGTACCCGGGAGGCCTGGACAGATGGCAGACAGTCCACGGAATCTGAGACACCAACCAAGAGCGTGAAGTGAAAACACTGCTTTGCCATTTCCGGGCAGAAGTGAACTGAATCATGGAGATAAACCCTGCTTGAAGCCATCTCGACACTTCTGCTCTTAATTAGATCATCCAGTGAGCAGAGTTGAAATCAAAGGGCCTTTCGGACATAAACAATTTGGACTGAAAATGGTGCTTCGTGGTTTCTGAACAATTTGTAACATGTAAATACTGTGGGAAAATAGTATTGTGTAGCTCCCAGAAAAACATTTGTCTCATAGTTAACACACTTGTAGTATTACTGTATTTATGCACTTTTCATTTAAAACATTGGTTTGGGTATTCCCAATGTACCTTAACAGAATTCCCTGGGGAGTTCTTGTTTTTCCTCACACTACTCTATATAACGATACTAAGTTAACTAAGCTACTTTTAGATCTGGACATTGCTGTTTAATCTACAGTCTAACAACATGAGAAGTAGATTCATAAGTTAGCCGTCTCCCTGAAGCTTCAGGTCGTAATTATTAGCTTAAACTGGGCTATAATTCGATTCATCTTTTTACCTTCCGAAATGCAGACGATAATGTATATACAGGTGTCAGAATCTAGTTCTTTGCTTCATGTTCATTTAGTTTTTAATGGTAGATCTTTGTTATGTTTTGTTAATTACAGTGTTTTTGGTTCATTGAGTGAAGATTCTGCAGGGTGGGATCTTGCACCTTTGAAAGACTGAATGTAATTACACTATCACGTAAGCCTGGAAATTGTTGATGGCATGTAGTGATGATGTGCTCTTACACTTGCTAACATGTATTAAACGTTATTTAGAAAAGGTGGATTATGTAATAATCAGGTACGTACCTGGCACTAATGTGCTAACACACTGATCAGGTTTAGACAGTGAGTTTTAGTCGTGTATTCATTAGCCCTAGTGTTGGTTTCCAGTTTAGAATTAAGGAAACAATTGACATCTGCTCTTAGTAACAGCAACATACTGTGATTTTTTAATTAAACAGTAATTCAGATTTATTACTCTTAAGAATGAAATTCTGTCTTTTGACACCATAGTGCCCTTTCTATGATTTTTTTTTTTTTTACTCAATATTCTTCTTGGCCTTAGATTTAAATCCCTATGCAATTAATGTTTTATATCTGCATTTTTTTAAAAAAAAATAGATGTTATATAAGTGATTCTCATATGTAGCACCTATTGTTTTTCCAGTAAAAAAATTGAAGATTTTGTAATGTGATTTGTATTCACTGCCCCAATTGACAAAGTAGTGGAGTCTTGCTATAATATGAAACCTTACAGTCATGGACCCCTTCCAATCAGATTTCTGAAATTCAGAAGACTGGTATAAAACTGTGATGTGGATATCAAAACTACAAATTATAGTGAGGCTACAATTATACTTATCTATCTTGGCTTTGCAACATAACTTAGAAAGCAGGTATAGTTTGGTTTTTTAACCTAAGTTATGTACAGTCTCTTATGTATTGATTTGAGACTTACTAACAGACTTTGGGGGCATAGATATAAGAATGCCACTGCAGAGACAAGACCTCTCCTTTCAGACCTCTTAACTGGTGCCTAAGTAAATAGATGTGTCCTGATTTCTAGCCCATTGGCCGTAATACTATGCTAGATTAATGTCCTAGGTTTATTTCTCCAGTCCACAAACTAAGTGTTCATAACGAGATGAATTGTAGACTAGTAATGTTTGATGCTTTTAAATGTTTGCTTCTTAAAAACAAAACAAAAAAACTAAAACCCACAACTGAATTTTGAGGTGGATGTTTCAATAAAAGAGATTGTTTGAGTTTGGTGTGGAAGCTGTTTTGTAATAAAACCAAAAAACAAAATCTAAAAATCACTGACACGTGCCTGAACTATCAAAACACAACACAGTTGGTGTGTAACAATACTAAATTGTGTTACCTGGAGGATGTACATATTTTGAAATTTAAAACACAGTAATAAACATTTGATTAATTCAGAAATTTTAAAAAATTATCTTTAAAGCTGCCTGTTGGGAAAGTCCAAAGCAATTTTGTCTGTTTTGAAGTGTAATTTCTCCTTAACTTTTTACAAGTTACTGTTTTTGTAGACCTACAGTACTAATTTTTAGAGATCTTACCATTGTGTTGAATGTTTAAGAATCGATGGGCTGAGTATGTACCTCAGTCAAAGGTAGAATGCAAGCTTAGCCTGTGAAAGGCCCTGGGCTCAATCCTAAGCACTACGCCCACCAAAAAAAGGAAAAGAATTAAGAAAGGTGGCTTGCTTTAGAAAACTAAAGCACATTAAAGATTGTAATAACAAATTAAAAGGCAGTTTCATAGAAAACAGTATTTTTAAATTTTTATGTGTTCCTCCAGTACATATTGCCTAAAAATATAATGTATTTTGAGTTTCCATGTGTATTTTAGTTCATTACTATGAATAATAAGATTTCTGAATTATTTCTAAATAATGTGTATTTGGAGTTACAGTTGATAAAAACTCAGCAGCCAGTTTATTTCTCTGCCTTGACTTATTTAAGGGAGGTGGAAAAAAACTGATTTACACAAACATAAGTACAAATAAGAGCAGATTTTAAACTAACTTTCCTGGAGAGTCTTTACTGAGAGGTAGCTGAAATTATATTTCAAGGCTTATATCAAGTGTATTACCTTGCTAGTGGAACTTAATACATATACAGTTTGCAGTGTGGTAAAATGTACCTTTTATTAAGTTCTTAAATATGCACTTAAACTAAATTTGAATCGTATCCTTTTTTTTTGGTACCGGGGATCAAACTCGGGACCTTGTGCTTATGCAGCTGGCGCCGGAACCACTGAGCTAAATCCCCAGCCCTGAATCATATCCTTTTTAAAAAATCATATCCTTAACCCTAACTCAACTTCAAGAAGCTAGATTCCAGCAAGGCATGGCATGAAAACCACTGGTGAATCATGTGACTGTTAGGATATTATGTATCAGAAATCTTTTTCTTTCACACCTTTTGTTATTTTATAACACTCTAAGATCTTAAGGTTTCAATGCCAAAGCACAGTTCTGCTTTTAAAAGTCAAAATTTAGACTTGAAAAATTTAAGCTACTTAGCTCACAGAAGATATCACTCAGTAAGCTACAAAAAATATTTTTAATCTATATAATTTTACTGTGAACACTAGAAAATTCTATAAAGGTACTAAGTGTGTGTGTGTGTGCACACGCGTGCACAGAAAGCATCATATTTAATCACAGACTAAATTTAATTTGATATAGAAATACTGTGTGCATTATGGTCATAATTTCTTCTGGACTTCTTATATTTAATTAATGGAGCTTACAATTTTCCTCTTCATAAGTGCGTTTAAAGTGGAAATTGAACATCGACGTAGTGGGGAAGTTGTCTGTCTTTCCCTGTTGGAGAAAAAGTATTTTTTATGTTTTGCTAAAATACAAACTATTTTATGCTTGCAGACTCTTCCTTAGACCCTGGTCATACCTGTTGGCTGCTCGCAGACACCTTTCATGCCTCCTGCTTTTGGTCCATTCAAAGACAGGCCTCAGATTTTGAATGAGTACCAGCCTTTGACAGTTCATGCCGCCGTTGACTGCTTTTTGTGTTCCTCTCTTCCGGCCCTTCTGCCAGATCTTATCCTTCACTGTCGGGTAAATTGGGTCAGTGCAAAGGATTGTCCTATGCTCGAGTCACCTGGGTACATAGACTATGAAGACCTCTACCCTACTGTAATTACTCTCAGTAACATCCGGTGTCCTGTAAATTTTTATATAATTTAAAAAACTGAACTATGTGATGAAAAGCCATGATGGGAACAAATATTGTGGCCATTAAGATAAAAATGAGTTGTCAGATCATTTAGATTGTCTTCTCTTCCATAGACCCCTTTAGGTTCAATATCATCTCTGCGTTTCAATGAACTAATTAAGGGATTAGCATAGTTTGTGCCTCCTTTACATAAAGACATTTTGTGTGAGCTCTGATAACCTAAATCAATTGTTGATAATCCAAATTTTAACAGCAAAATCATATGTAAAATTTTATTTTTCTCCTTCTGCGTATCTTTTGTAAAGATCTCATTGTAGATATTTTCTGGTACCAAATAAAAGTTTTCAAACAGTTTGGTTTCAAGACCTTTAAATAGACAGTTTGGATACTGAGATTTTGAAATAAGGACATATAAACATATTTAGAGATATTTAATAAGAATATATAAATGCGTATTTCCAGCCCATCCTTAAAATCTTTTATTTTTATTAGCACATGTTTGCAGTACATAATGATTTCATTCATCGTGGAGAGTTGGTAATTGTACATAGCACATCTTAATTCTTTTTTTCATCCCCTTCCCTCTCTGCTCCCTGCATTGCTTGGGCCCCTTCCCATTTGCAAAGATCTGTCTCCCCGTTTTCTATTAAATATATTTTACTTTGCTCTTTATATTTGGGTGTGTCTTAAGAAAATCATGTATTAAGGCCGGGGATTTAGCTCAGTGGTTTCACAGCCTGCTGCGTATGCGCAAGGACCCGAGTTTGATCCCTGGTACCCGCCCCCCGCCAAAAAAAGAAAAGAAAATCATGTATTATTTAAGTTTGTGTCTGATTCATTTCACTTAATACTGTTGTCTCAAGGTGCATCTATTTTCCTGCAAATGACTCAAGCTTATCCTCCTTTATGACAGAGTAGTACTCTATTGTGTAGAAACACCACATTTTCTTCTATCTCTTCATCCATTAATGGATATATATGCTGCTTCCAAGATTTAGCTATTGTGAGTTGTGCTGCTATAAACATGATGTCTTCAACTCTTTGTGGAAAACACTTAGAAGGGAAATAGCTGAATGAAATGGAATATTGTCTTTTAGGCTTTTGAGGAATCTTTTTCTGCTTTCCATAATGGTTGTACTAGTTTGCATTCCCACCAACAATGAAGCCCCCCAACACACACAAAAGGGACCCCTACCCCTTGCCTTGCCACCATTTGTTATTTGATTTCTTGATGATAACCATTCTTTCTGGAGTAAGATAGAATCTCAGTGTTGTTTTAATTTGCATTTTTCTAAAGGCCAGAGATGTTGGAAACTTTAAATCTTTTTTATTTGAACCAAAAACTTAGTTGGGCTGTTAATTGTATTCCTAGACCCACTTCTGTGCTGTCACTCATTTTCTGTTAGGCGAAAATACGATTTGCTCTAAATAGAAAGCCGAGTGTGACCACATGCACACACCTGTTGTTTCTCTGTCCAGCCAGTGTTTACCAGCATTTTATTGAGTAAAAGACTAAATACACAAGGGCCTGAAGGTAACCTTTGCCGTCAGAGAGTATTTTATATGTAAAACATGACCTGGGGAATAATACAGTTTATTCTCCAAGGAGTTTTCAAGCATCCCCTGTAATTCAGGAACTCCTAGGGATTGGAAAAAAATCAACCCTTTGTTCCATTCAGACCAGCATTTTGCAACTGATTCTCCTTAAATCATTTTTAGGGAGGATAGAATTATCTTCTTTGCATTCACCCTAACCTCGTCTGTCTTTGTAGCACCTTGTAAATAAGCATTAAGCATCTTTGAGGAAAAAGCTGCCTCCTTTGATAGAGAAACATTTTCAAATTGCAATACCACCTTGGGGGAGGGGCAAGTTTTGTTAGAGTTTTTTGCAGAATAAATTGGCAATTCTTTGTTGGTGCACATGTAAAAGCTGAGTCAGTAATAGGAGACATTTTATTAAATGTGATTGAATAACACTCCCCTTAGGATTTCATGATGTAGTTTACATAAGTTGTTTAAATAAAAATACGTGATCACCTATAGAAAATTAAGGTTCTTGAGATGTGTTTCTGTACTTCATTAGATAGGATTTTATTACCATTATGTCTGGAGAATAACTTTTTAATCAGTGTGTGACCTATGCAGTGCCCAGAACGTTTGGAGTATTCTACGTGTAGGGCATATGTAATGGTGTAGAAAACTTAACTAAATTCCCCTAAAAGCTATCAAATATGGCATTGTGATGGTTAACTTTGTGAGTCAATTTGAATGTGCTGTGGTGCCCATGTGTCTGATCAAACATGTTCCTATGAAGATATTTTGTAGATGTGATTAATATTTACAGTTCATTGATTTTTAAGTGAAGCAAATCACCCTTCCTACTTTGGTTTCAATCAGTTGAAGGCCTAAGAGTGAAAGCTGAGGTTTCCCAAAGACGAAATCCTGGCATATAAGGGCCGATTGTGTAAGAGGGTATAAGTTGCTCAGTGGTAGAGTTTGTCTAGCATGCACATGACCCTGGGTTCAATCCCCAGCAAGAAAAGGAGAGAGGGAGGGACAGAGAGAGAGAGAGAGAGACTATAATCTTACCTGAGTTTCAAAAAAGTACATATGCACACATGAATATGTTGTGAGTTCAAAGCCAGTCTGGACTACAAAATGAGGCCTTGTCTCAAAAAAAAAAATGTTTTCAACAATGAGTTCTTCGTATTAAACACATTGAGCAATGAACATGCATTGGTTCATTAATCTGAGTGCTGCTTACAAATATGCCAAGCAACAGTTTTAAAGTTTAATTTGAAATGTATTAGCAGTTTTTGCTCAATTTTTTTCTCTAAAATTCTCTTGAATTTCTGAAACCATTTATTAATGATAATGAACCAAGTTTTCACTTCTGACCATTAATTTAATGAATCATTAAATTGGCATCTCTGGCGAGGAAAAGCAATATGCTAAGAAACAGAGATGATTAGATTCTTGTTGAATAGGGTTCAGGGTCCTGGAAAGGACAGAATTTCATTTGTAACACTGGGTTATAGTCATGGCTGTTTCTGAAACATGTTTCTGTAGGTCGTCAGACAGGATTTTATCAGTATTATGACTGGAGAGTAACCCTTAGATCGGTGTGTGATCTATCAGTGCCCAGAATGTAGTCTTGACTACCCTGTCACATGATAGGACCTAACACCTGTATTTAGTGATCCCTACTTTAAATTTCCTTTTTATATGTAAAACATGTTTATATACATTCATAACTATTTTTTTGGTGTTCATAACTATTTTTTTTATAATCAGCTTTGTGAGAACAATGAGTGTGTGTAAGTTGCCTAATCCTTATAGACAAAGTAGTTATTTTGCTTTTATGATTAAAGAGAAGATAATAAATGTTGTCCCGTTATTCTACTGGATAGTGGCCTACTAAAAATTAAATAATTTCACTAAGGTAACTGCTAAATGTGTAGCATTATGTCAAGTGCTGTGGGAAACACAGAAGAAATATATATCATCTTTGTCTTTACAAATTAACACATGTGATATAGAAAAGATCCAGGACAGTGATTCCAGTTAAAAATAGTTAGAATAAATCATTCCAAGTTTCCAACCAAGAGCTACCAAAGAAAAGACAAGAAAAGTGGGCCGGGGATTTAGCTCAGTGGTTTCGCCACCTGCTGCGCAAGCGCAGGGACCTGAGT